CAACTAGCATTTAAGTTATGAGCTCTTCATGCTGCACACTTGCTGCATAACCAGAGCGGCAGCAAGGCACCCGGAGACACAAACGCAGGGCCCGGTGGCCAATGGAGAGCCAACCCCCAATCCCATCCCCGTCTCTCATCCCTCACTTGGTACACAGTACATCACAGAGCTTGCACGCAACAACTCTCAGTGTGGGGGAGGGGAGCTCTGGAAGCGCTGCGTCCTCGAACTATACGCAGATTTACGGTTCCAACTAGAGCAAAGTCAGTCAGAGTCCCTACACGAGTCGTCTTCCTGCTGCTTTACATCCTCATCTACAAGCCGTTACCCTTTTAACTATTATTGGACACAATATCCTGTTTCATTCTAGTTTAAGTGAAAATTACATCAGCCTTAATGTGCTCTGCTAAAAGGCACATTTCATGCGGTGATTTTTATCTGCTCCGTAAAAGCAGAAATATGAGAACTACCCCCACAGAACACCACCTGACACACAAACCCTGAACTCCACTCACTCCTCCCCCTCTGACCCCCCCACTGCCATTGCCCTTGTTTGTCTTTCCCTTTCCCCTGGGCTTGCCGTTTCCTGTAGGGTTGGGCTGCCTTATGTGAGCCATAGCTTCCAGACAGCTGTAAAATAGCAGGCCTCACCCTCCCTCGTTCAATCTCTCTAGCCCTCTTTTCCCTCCTTTTCTCCCACTACTCTGGTTCTCATCAGCAGGCTCCATAATTCAATTAACTGAGAGCAGATCATTCATCTCAGCCCTGCATGTTTTGATGTCTTCCACTGAAGGCCTAACAAACATATCAGAGGGATTGGATGATGCTGCTGTTTGATGTCTGACTACACGCTGTCCACAACAAAGTTCTCGAAGACTCACAGCCACACTGATGAGCAACATGGCGTGATATTTATAGTGCAGAAGTGACGCTGTGTTTGGATGACAGGGCTCACTGTCATACTGTATCATGATTAAAACATAAGAGCGAAAAAGAAAAATAATCATAGATTAAAAGTGTATGAATGAGCACGAAGAGACAGAATGAATTAGCATGAGAGAGTGAGACTAAACATTCTGTACCTAGTTGTTGGAAAGTCTGTGCTCAGCTATGTCTGCTGAACATAGCTGAGCTGAAAGGTCTTAGTTTGCAGCCCCAGTGATTGTTAGTTTTTCCAAAAAGCCGCTACATGTGTTTTAAAAAAAAATGCCCTCTTGTACATTACAGAAATACCAAATATGGTATGGTTTAGTGTTCCTGTGCACTTAAGTTGTATGGAAACTCTACATCTTCTTTATTTGCCAAAAGTAGAGATGCAAGCCTTTCATCCTTGCAGCCGACCAGCCATCACCCATTATAATCTAGTCTGCTCTAGCCGGGTTCATGCTTCCTCAGACAGCCAGAGAAATTTATTGGGTGTAAGTGCACGCTGAAGTAAATGTGTTTTAGGTGACTTACGGCTGACAGAGTTTGACCAGATCCTGGTCTGTGGTTCCTGGGTGGAGGCCACGGATATAAAGGTTGGTTTTGCTCAGCTGCTCTCCCCCGCTGCTGCTGTTGCTGCTGCCATTGCTAATTGTGGTGGTGTTGCTGTTGGGGCTTGGGGGAGCCATCTGATGATTGGACGGGGACACATATGTCTGCTGCAGAGGAAACAGAGGGCTCTTTTTAGGTACATGAAATTGGATGTACGCATGGATGCAGTCATTAAGTGG